ATTTCTGTCTTCCACACAGGGCGCGCTCATGTCATCCAGTTATGGGAAAACGCCTCTAAGTGTCCCGATGTAAGGTCCAGGATGGTGGTAGATTGACCAAGCACCTGGTCAACAGGGAAAGCCGATGAACCAGGCTTCGACTGAATAGACAGGTAATGGGAATTTAGGCCCGTCAGCTCAATATGACCACCATTGCGGTAAGTTGCAGCTAATGTAAACAACACATTTAGCCGCCCTGTTAACACTTCTGTCACCCATATGAAGTCTACCCCGATCCCAAGCAAACTATATCTAAACAACGGAAGTGGTTCCCAGGCGAACGAACTAGTTACTGCTCCTGTGGGAGCTAGGTTAGGGCCGATTAACGTACGCTGTGCTAACCTTGTTCTTTTGCCGCCTGTGACTCCACAACCAATTAATCGCCCCCACAATAAAACAAAGCTTTCACCTTTCAGCTGCAAAGGCTTTCTAAAGATGCTTTTTGCTGTGTTCACTCAATTAAAGTAGCGGGAGGTGGCCAGATTATTTTTCGATGGACTGCCTACTTGGCTGTTTAAGGCTTCTCGCTTGACGCGACAGTGCTTAACTTCTCCTGAGTCTCTCACTAGAACTGTTCATTTGTCGCCAGCGTGTACACCCAGCGTTGCCACAAAATCTACCGACCCGATATTTACGCAATCACCACGCGGATAGTCAGACTGACTACATTCTAGTCATGTCCAGGCTTCGTGCCTGGGCACTTGGTTTTAGATCAAGAGGCTGAAGTCACAACTGTCAACGCCGATGAGTCCGAGTACGTTCTCCTTCCTAAAATGACTAACATATTCGGCACACTGACACAGTAGACCGGTCTCGTTTTGCAGTCCGAGCCAACTCGTGCCCAACTCGTCAGTTCCGCAAGACGGTTTAACTGATGCTCAGATCCATCCAGCGACAATCTGACGGTCGGATTAGTACAAAAACTCTGCAGCTGGCTTCCGATGGTATTCCGCCATTACCACTTGCGTCGAATTCGTAAAATGGCGGTAAAATAGGTTGCAGACGACCCTAAGAGCCATTGGGACGATGTGGTGATCCCCATGAAGCAGGTCTCAAACATCAATGACGGCAAAGTATTTCCCTAAATTATCCGTCAAACCCGTTAGCTGTGACTCGCACGAAGTGATCCTTTGTAGTGTCTGAACTAAGGCTTCAGCTCTGACAACGCGGTGGTGGTCGAGCTCCAGCATAGGTACTTTAAGGGCCCTCTCATATCTGGTAGTCAAATCAACATGTTTCTCTCCTCGGGAGCAGAGTTTAGCTCGTTTTCACCCTGTAAGGTGTCGTATGATCGTCTTTTCCGGCACAAAAGCCCCCTGCGAAATACCCAGCCGCACAACACCAGGGCCCTTCGAAATGATCGTATTCCTAATGAAATCCCAAAGTCTCCTGTCAACACCCTAACTCCCTGGCTTCATGACGTGACCGGACAAGGATGCAGAGATTTGATCCTGCCGGACGCCTGCAGTTAGAATAAGCATGAGCATGTTTCTGTTAAAGAAGACCAGACGGAATGTTGTATCAGTTGCGACACAGGTCTCAGCAAAATTCTTGCATGTCCTTGCCACTGTCATTAACAGGCGCTTTCCAAGTCTACTTGATATAAGGACGCCGCCGAGCCTAGCCGGGCTGCGAGTTGGACATGAATGCGCTGCCTGATTATTCCTACTTTAGCACCTTCACGAGTTCCATCCGGACAGCCAACAAACAGCGGCCGTCTGAATTGCTGAACTCATACATTCGTTCGATTCCATTATCTATTATTTCCTTCAGAGGGGTAGAGTGGAAATATGTGCTGAGGAAAGTTATTGGTGTGATCAAGGCCCACTTCTGCTTACTGGTCGATTTAATCGATTTCTGTGATCATTGACATGTGCTGCTTAACCCTGTTCCCATATTAAGTGGCTGGTCTGACGAGAATGTATCGAAAGCAAGCGTATGCTCGTGAGCTCGTCTTCTGATTGATAGGTATTCTGTCGTCCCAACGGTTTACAAGCTGCCGATCGCCTACTTAACTGAATCATTGACCTCTTATGGTGACAAATTTGTGACGAAACCCGTTTATGTTGACGATACCGCCCTGCAAGCAGGCTAGGGTGACTTATAGAATTTTGTTTCTCGGAGGAAAAAAAGTCGCTAAATCTGTCGATTTCTACATCAATACGGCAAGTACCACAGCGTAGTCGATATACATCTCTGGTTCATATAAGGCAACCTTCGTGGTAAATCGTTATGGACTCGAAGAAGTGGAAAATTTTTAATAATCCAAAGCCAAGTTGTTGCCATATGAACAGGGTAGGGGCGAAATCGCCATCTGACGTGCCTTGTTACTTGTTTATGAGCCAGAAGTGGAACTCCAATCACCACGAAACCCTTCGTGCAGTGGTCGGCAACGGCCATGACTTTTAAATCATTCTCGTGGCAAACAAGCAAAACAGGAAGTTTTAGAACATCGTTACGTGGGAATCATATTTTCAGTACAGTGCACCACAATTGTCTTATGAATCTATCGCTAACTGGGAAAGGAAAACAAACGAACCTGCATGCTTAGAGTTCACATCTTGAGAAGAAAGTAAACTACTAGACGAGGGGTGACTGTATTCCTCAATTAGAAGACCTCCACATTTGGAAACTAGACTGCAGTAAAAATGCACTAGATGGGCATGCATTGTGAACAGTTTTATTGTGTGGTCTACTTCAACGCAAAATCGTGAAGTGGCTTACCGAGCAAACTGCATGTGTCAACTGATTTAGGCAAAATATATACACGATTTCATAATTGCTACAGAGTTCGTCCTTCACTGTATGTTAGATAAACTGATGAGGTAATCTCCTTGCATCTAGCTTAGACTAAACTTGAAATCAGGAATAAGAATACACCTGATCACAGTCAATAGGTTAATGGGCCCATGGCTCAATGTTAGAGCGTTGTGTGTAACGATGAAGTTCGAATCCTAGGTTATCCAGACCTGAGGTTCAGTATGGTTGACAGACTGCGACTAGTAGGCGAGAAATGACCACCGTTGTGCAAACGACGGAATATTTTTCCACAGGACGCAAAAAAGTGCAAATTAATTTTTCTTCCGATGATTATGAGTGAGATAATGAAAAAATCAGATAATGAGGGGACATTAAAAGAAATCTAAAAATATGTTTGGCCAAATATTAAAAAAGGAATAAACAGCTAGATGAAAGCACACGTACTTTCGAATTTTGTCGTGGACGAAACAAGGTATCTAGCTCTTCTGGTACAAAGTAAGCATGTTTTAATTATTTTTGAGAGTAGAAGCGTGAGAAATAATATACAGTGAGTGAATGATCGTATGAAATGTTGGCCGAAACTCTGAAATGCATTTTCGATTAGGAAGGATTACGTAGACGCCGTTGTAATACTAAGTATCAGACGGCATAATCCTATAGTATTTCGATTTTGACAGGATGCCAGCTTTTGAATATACTGCTTTCAAACTCCTGTAGAAACTGTAATTAGAAAAAAATGACTACTTAGGTAACATGCGTTTTTCCCATTGGTTTTTGATGGCCTTGAAAATTCAAATATATTCTATAGAGACCCCGAGCAAAAATATGCTTTCTTTCATTCATTTGTTGGAAAATCACGTCGTCTTCGTATTTTTTACTCGAAGAAGGAGTAAAATTAGGTTACGAAAAAAGTATCAAATTATGAGATTTTTTGACATCGTATAATGTCCATTTATACAACATCGCACCTGTCCAATAGAATCGAAGAGACCAGTCCATGGAAGCAGTCTTGTAGAAGAAGAAGAAGAACAAGAAGAACAAGAAAAAGAACAAGAACAAGAAGAACAAGAAGAAGAAAAAGAGGAAGAAGAAGAAGAAGAAGACACGATCGCCGGGACAAGAGCTTTATTAGTCTGACGTTTCGGATTCCTGCTCGAATCCATCAGCAGAGACAAAAGCAGATAAGGGTGGTTCATGCATATGCGGCTGAAGTAGTTTTAGGATGCAGTAGCTATGCTACCGCATACCTATGAATATTCACGGATCCCTCCCCTTATCAGGAATCGTTGAACGTGGCGTGATGGTCGATATTCGCGTCGTTAATTGCTGCAATTTCATCACGTGTGTTGGATGTTGGTGTGATGATTGCTCGACCATCTGACGCGCTGACCCAAGTGTTGGGAAGAGTGTTCACCTGTGCGCTCCCCGCGTGGCCAATTACTCCGCCTAGCCGAAGTTTCGGCACGGAGTATTGAATGGGAAGATCATTGCACTTGTTAATAAACTGGGGGCCAGTAAACCATGACTCAATCAGCTCCCGGCTTACGCAGTTGTCACCTCGTGCGAGAATTTCGGCCTCATCGAATTTGAATGTGTGGCCGGAACCCGTCGAATGAGCCGCAACTTGAGAGCTAGCGTCATTTCTGCTCACCGCTGCTGCGTATTCGGCCATTCGCGTTTGGAGTTGTCATCCGATTTCTCCGACGTAGTTGCTTTGTCCGCAACTGCACCAGATCCGATAATCGCCTCCAGACGTTTCTTGCCGTGGCAGTGGGTCTTTCAGTTTCATTAACGGACGCCTGATAGTTGCTTCCGGTCTGTGTGCAACTCCAACCCCCAGTGGTGCGAGAAGGCGGCCAACAGCTTCCGAAACGTTCTTGACATATGGAAGCGCTCGCCAAACTTTGGTGTCCGTGCGGTTAGGCCTTTCGTCCCTTTTGCGTATGCACCGGTTGATAAAGTTGCGCGAGTAGCCATTGGCTTTGAAGACCCGTTGGAGGTATTGTAGTTCGTCAATCTTTTCTTCCGGCTTACTGCGTTTCGACACGCCGATATAGCGTCCTTACACAACTGCGTTTGTGACTGATTGGGTGGTTGCTGTTGAAGTTCAGTACCTGCATCGTATTTATGGCTTTCCTGAACACTTTGGTCTTTAGTCCGCCACAATCCTTGCGGCATACGAGGACATCCAGGAAAGCCAGCTAGTTGTTCTCTTTCTCCTCCATCGTAAATTGTATGTCCGGAAAGACCGCATTCAGACGTTCCTTGAATGTCAGCAGTTGATCCCGATCGATACCGACGAATGTATCATCTACATACCGGGCCCAGAACTTCGATTTGTGGTGTTGGAAGACCAGCGACTCTAACCGTTGCAGGATCGCCTCGGCGATGAATCCCGAAATCGGCGAACCCATTGGTGTGCCCTTCACCTGTTCGTAGATTGTCCCGTTGAACATGAAATACGTCCGGAGACAGAACTTCAGGAGCTGAAGGACTTTGGCGCGTCCAGGACGATTCTCCGTTTCATAGTATTTGCTTTGTAGAAGCAGCTCGATTGTCTCGATCGCCAGGTCCTGGGGAATAGAAGTAAAAAGGGATGTAACCTCAAAAGATACCATGACCTCATTTGGTTGGAGGCTTACCCCTTTGAGTTTCTCCAGGAATTCTGCTCTTGTCTCTGATGATGGATTCGAGCAGGAATCCGAAACGTCAGGCTAATAAAGCTCTTGTACCGGCGATCGTGTCTTCTTCTTCAAAATCGCACCGGTCCGTTTATCGCTGCTCCTCATGAAATTTACGACATAGTCCGCATCTATTGCGAAATTTTATGGACTCAATATGGTATCTTCTCAAAGATATCAAAGTTTATATGATTTTCCTTAAGCGGAACGCATCCATCTTGTAGACTGAAATCACCAAGCGCTAATGCAACGACTGATCTGACTCCAAATTATTCGGGCATTCGACAACTTTTTTAAAACCTAATTATACTCCTTCCTAAAGTATAAAATATGAAGATGACATGATTTCCCATCAAATGAGCGAAAGTAAGAATATCTTCGTCCATGATTCTTAGAAAATATGTTTGAATTTATAAGGCAGGCAAATATCAGTGTGGAAAATGCATGCTACTTAAGTAGTCATTTTATACCGAATAGGGTTTCTGCAGGAGATTGAAACGAAGTGCAGTGAAGAGCTGGAATCCTGCCAACTCCGAATTATTTCAGGAAGATGTCGCACGATATTCAGTATTACAACCCCACTTAGGTAATCCTTCCTAATCGAAAACGCATTTCAGAATTTTGGTCAACATTTCATGAGATGGGTTACTGACTAACCCTCGAGGTAAACACGAATAATGCCTACGAGTTTCTTAGGGAGGCCCAAAATGTATTTAGGACCATAGCACATGTCTTCATTAAAATCGAGAGGTTTTTAAATTATCTTTACACTTGAATTCCGAAATCCAGAGGATAAATATTTTTATGGGGAAAAGCTGTGCAAACCTCTGACCGCAGGTGAGAAGATAAACATATTGATGTGTGTATTAACAGGGAACTATTCCAGATTAGGAAACAGTTACTCTGCGTTCATGCTGCAGTTCACAATTTCCCAAGTAGGAAACGGAAATAGTTACAACCTTAGAACTATTTATGTTAGAAAATGTAATCCCGCATGCTCTCCAATCCAGACTTTGGCGAGCGGCTTAGAGCAGATGAATAGTCGATTCATCATAATTCAAAGCCACGATCGCACTGCCCATTTGCCCAGAAGTCAAGCCCATCAAACCTGCTGTTCATTTGTTTATATTGTGTGTCCTGAAGTTCTTCAAAGACAACCGCCAACAGGCGAACCACAGGCTTCCACCGGGTAAGTACTGCTTCGTCCATTAACTTGTGAAAAGTGCGAGTCAGTAGCCTACCTTCCGCAGGATTTAACAACGAGCTACTTTTCCCTTACAGGTATTAGGGATTCATTTAACATAGAAATGTCCTTTTTTGAGAAACGCGCCACAAATAACAAGTTGGATACTTTGCTGATAGGAACGAAGCGATCCGTTAACGGACATAAATTTAAAAAAGACGATCTCGGGATATATAATTGTATTTTCCGGACGATTCAAATTCAGACTACCTCCCAGCGTCTGAGGTGAGTGTGGAACTGCGCCTCAAAGCACTTATAAGTGGTAACTTTGCAATCTTCAGTAAGACTACTGTAATACTGAGACGCACGTTCACGGGGACTTACAATTAAGAGGAGACTTAATACATCAAAAGGGAACCGGAAGATTAATATAAGATTTCGAGTGAAAATAAAGGCGTTGGTGGGTGGGGCAACACAGACTGCCGAAATACCAAGAACCGGATCCACAACCAGCCAAAATATTGACAACCTGTCACGGACGGAAAGATAACTGCGGGGGAAGGCTAGGAGTCCGTACGTCAAAGGTCACAAGTTATACACCTGCGTATATAAGAAGAGGGTCGACTGTGCAGCCGAATTCTTTAAAAGACAAGGCTGGCCTCGATGAGGCGACAGTCATAGAGTGGCCAGAAAAGACGGTCTAGTTAATAACACCGTGCATGCCATCCATAGAGGTCTCATGTACCATATAAGTGACTGCAACGAAGACCTGGTTACAGAGGGGCCAATACAGCCAGAAATGCAGGTATAAAATAGAACAGAGTTTTCCGTCAGTCACGACTGTTAGCGTGCCGCCACAGATTTTAGGGCGCACAGAACTGTTCACCACGGGGAAATTGGGTGTTGGGTTTAAACTAGGAGGAACTCACAGCGAGACATAACCAAGCTGACTAGAGGTGGAACTGAAAGTCCAAGTAGATGTGACGTGAATGAAGCCTCCGTCTAACGCGCACAGGCAATAACAGAAGCAACACCGCCGTGGAGCAAAGGGCCAACTGTCCTGTCGAATGCTTTATTAGACACCACAGGTCTCGATGACGGAACTGTTACAAATGGACAGAAAATAGGTTCTCTGGCCGACAACACCCTGAGGTTAGGTTTCTACGACCAAACCCTTAGGCGTCCAGGACAACCAATCTAGGTGATTGGCAGATATGCTTCCGTACCGAAGACTCTAGAGACACCATAAGGATTGAGACTGACCGCAGATCGATGCGTGGGGCCGAGACTGGTAACGCCCATGGGTCGGACCATGTCCTCGTCCGCACATGCTTGAAAGTTCAACTCTCATCCGCGCCAAAAATGCCACATCGGAAGATGACGGCAAAATCGGCCAGGGATGACCGGAAGCAATATTCAGCTGAAATAGCAACCTCCATGGAACAAGCCTCGAACGATGGTGACACTCGAAAGCTCTACCGTCTGATCCGCCATGTTAGTGGTAGGCCCTCTACACTGAGTGACTCTGTTCGCGACGTCAACGGCGGCTTTATTGCTGACAACTCGGCCAAAGTCGAGTGCTGGCGTGAGCACTTTGAGCACCATCTCAACTTCGATACCCAACCAACCTCGTCCTTGCTCTCGTCCTCAGTGGAGTTTCTTCCCTCTCCAACCTATGCAGTGTCATGCGATCCCCCCTCCGAGGGAGAAGTCGCCGATGCCATACAAAATTTGGGCAACAATAAGGCACCCGGAGAGGACGCTATACCCGCTGAAATCTTCAAGTCTTGTGTCGACACTCTGGCGCCCTGTTTCCATGAGGTGATTGAACGAGCGTGGAGAGACGAGGTTGTTCTTGATGACTGGATT